TCTATCATTTTACACTTAAGACTAATGTGAATCAACTTTATTATAATTTATTTTCTGCGTCAATAGTGAATTAAGCTATAAATATATAGAGCCAAACATGCATTGAATAAACATGAAATAAACGTGGCAAAAATTATGTAATAATTTAGGACAGGTCTTTCCGGTAGACCTAATACTTTAATTTTTTATTTGCCCTCGCTAACTCTGAGCATTCAGCCACCTAAAATATTTTTATTTATTTACATTCTATACCAATTTTTATATTATATTCAATCTGTATATATCATATACTATATTCTACTTCTTCTTCTTAATTTCTTCAATTTTTGCTGTTTTCTATCAAATTTCCAATTCTATTCAACTTCAATCTTCATTCCAATTTTTCTTCTTCATTCTTCTTTTTAATCTCAGCAAATTCTGATTTTTTTTCTTACTCCTAATACAACTTTGCTTTTCGAATTGTTTCTAATTCTTATTTTTCTTAATTTTTATTCAATTTTTACTTAACAAATACAATTTTCATTTAATTTCAAATTAACTACACATATTTTTTTCTCATTAATTATGAGTCAATGACAGAATTCGATCCAAAGATCCCTGGTAGACCTAATACTTATTAGTGATTTATTATCAATATTTTGGTTTCATTGTTATTTGTATTATTTTGTTATTTGCTTTATTCAAATTGCAATGAACAAAATGTTCGATTAATAATACTTTTTTTTAATTTTGGTAATCAAATTTTTGTTTGTTTTTGTATTGATTCGTGCATTCTTAGCATTTATTACAAAAAACTTGTCATCTTCACATTATTTTATCAAAAGTTTAAAGAGCTAAATCATAGTTAAAATTATAAATTTCATGATGGCGATCATAATTTATAATAATATACCACGAATAAAGAAATAATACCAACACTTTTACGATTTATATTCATTCATTTAAAGAAATTTTTGAATTAATAACCATTTGTTTTATTTGCAATAACAATTGTCTTAAACTACCATCAATATTTGTGAAATATTAATATTTGCACAATAGAGCAAACTAAAAGCTTTAGCGTTCTATATTTTTTAACAATGGACATCTCCAGGGCAAAATTGAAAAAGAAATTTATGTTACAATAATATCTGTTAATTTTCAAAATTTCTGTCAATAGTAAAAAATTTTGTATTTCGTAAGACATTTTGGGCATTTAAAAATTCGCACTTTCGATTCTTTATTAAAAAAATATCAATCATTTTAGCATAGAAAAATCAAGTATCATTGTTTATTTCGTAAAACTACCTTTGTGAATGAATATTGTTTCATTGCCACGAGTTTGATCTTTTTGTTCTTAATTTCTATAACTATGGAGATATCTTATAAATATTTTGATTGATATCGAATAAACCTATTTGCCGAAGTTATTGTTAATTCAAATTTTGGACTCTTATGCCAAAGTCGCTAGTCGAATATATTTTATATTCAGTTTCACTAAAATTATTTTTAAAAGTCTGAATATATTAATTCAATATTTCATTCAATTATCTGTTATCAACTGAATTCATTTATACGTTTTATTAATATTAAAATGAAATATGTATCATATTTCATTAGCATTATTTTTTGATAATTTTTTTCAACAATTTCTTATTTATTCATAACATATTTATATTTATCAATTGTGGCTTCATATTATTTCCCTATTTGCTTTACAATTGACTTTTATTATTTACATTATTTGATGTTATTTGTTTCTCAGATAATTTTTAATTATATAGATAATATAATATTGACAAAGTACTACATCATTTTTCTTCATTTTATATTTCGTTTATTCCGAGATTCTTATGTTTGCACTTTTGTTCAAATATTAATGTTTTACAAATATTAATGATTGTTTAAGACTATTGTTATTACAAATAAAACAAATGGTTAATTCTTCAAGAATTTTTTTTAAATGAATGAGCATGAAACTCAGAAGCATTCTCCTATTTATAGTTTCTATCTATATTGGTAGTATATTACGATATTTTTATGAATTATGATTTTTTTTTATAATTCCTCTCATTTACTTCAATTTGGTGTCTATAGTAATGTAATTCTGAATTTTATTGATTGTGTATATTGAATTATCCTTTCTCACAAGAATCATTTAAATTTTATCATTAATTTCAATTTCTGAACAATTGAAATGAATTTATTACCAGTAAATATATGAATAAAATATAATACAACATAAAGAACATTTCCATTGAAATGTCATTTAAATAAAATGGAATTTTAAACAAAATGCTTGTATTGTAATTATATTGAGTGATGTAAAGATTCTATAGAAATAAATTAAGCAGTTACCTCACAAAATGTTTTCAATCTTAAAAACAAGATCAAACCGTTATATAAAAATATAAAATAAACTATTTAATAATTGATGCGTATTAGAATGAACGAATTGAATTGGAAATGCGTTAATAAAATTCAATATTTTAATTATTTTCAGGATTCATATATAATATTATGCATTGTTTCAATTTTGGAAAGCATACTAAATCTTAAATTATAAGTTTTAAATAAATTGAAATGTAGTGCATATTGAAGTGAACTTGAGTTAATTGTTTGGTGAAAATTAATGAACAATGTATGGTAACAGCCTTGGAAGTTCTTGGCCTGGTGGCCTTGATATTTCTGGTGTCAGCCTGGGTGACTCGTGGGCCAGCCGTAGTTTGCAAGCTGCTCTCACCAGAGCAAGGGGACAGGTCGATCTTTCTATTTTAATTATAGACATTTATATAAGTTATTCATTCATTCGAGGTTTTGTTTAAATTTAGAATTGATATCGTGCAATGTAAATAATCGATTTGTAGTGAAAAGCTTGGAAAATTTATAAATAGCTTTGATTCACATTTTATCAGTAGTAAGCGGTATTCATTTAGGTGTCTTTCAGTCAGGTACAGTCACAGATGGTACAAAATTACATTATAACTCTGAAATGTGAAACAATCTATATTAATGTCTATAATATAGACTCTATATTAATCTATAAACTTTTAAATATCTGGTTTACTTAAAAATAATTTAACATCTATAATTTTATAAATTTGTTTAAACGTAAAAAAATAAACATTGCATTTTTTAATGGATTTATTGATATATCGTTAAAAACTTGCGGAAAGAAGGTTAGGAAAAAAGTGCAAATTCTATTCAATTTATGCATAATGAAAGCTTTGTTCTCTGTCTAGTTCTAAGGGTTTTGCTATTTCAAAATCAATATTAAATGAAGTATATTTATAATATTGGTGTTGGTGTATTTTATTTATTTTGATTAATATTGCATTGAAACATTTTATTTTTGGCTAATAGAATAAAACGTATGAAAGAAAACGAGCATACATGCGTCAATAAATTTATGGACATTCAGTTTGTTTAATGTTTGGTTTGGAAGCGTAATATATTAGTGTATTTTATATAATATAAAAATGTATCTAATATTCCAAAAAAATCCACCAACATCTCGGAAATAACAATTCAAATTAATGGGTCGATTCTGCCGCACAATAGACCAATTTTCACACATTATGCTATTGGTTCATACTGAATTCTTTCAAAATGACATGTATTTGCCGTACGTTCAGGCGTTTTACACATAAACTTCAATGTCACTCATGTTATGAAGCTGAGTCAGAAAGACCCCGTTATCAAAAATCGTTTTTTTGACATTTGTGGGATTTCTAGGTTAGATTTCCCATCTAACAACCTGAGAAAAACTTTTGACTACAAAGCAACCACATGGCTTTTGTCAATATTTAGAATGAATTAGTATGAAAAGTTTTTCATAACATAGCTTTGCCATAACATTGGTCTGTTATGCGGCAGAATAAATTCATAAATTTTGATTTGGAAATTTGCAAATTTTACTAGTCTTATACAATGAAGTACTGATACCAAAAATCGTGTCCTTCTGTCCACGTGTCTCTAAATATGAATAAAAAACAAAGAAACACATTTCTAATTCTATACATATATGATTAAAATGTAATATGCCCATAAATAATTATTGGTTATAATCAATTAGTCCCACGCGAGCCTATATTTGTTTTATAGCAATGAATAACCGAATTTCTGGCGGTATCTTTTATAAAACCATATTGGGCAGAAATAATAAATTGTTTCCGAAATATTATCTTTTATTTTGCCGAATTATGATAAAATGAAAATTAATTGTGTAATCATATTAATTAATCTTTATATATATATATATATATATATATATACAAATATATATTTAGCGTGTGTATTTAAAGAAATGAAAACTAAAATATAAATATATAAATACAAAAGCCTATATGGTAAAAGTATTAGATATTTAATTAACCAATAATTAAAATGAAAGGCTATTAATAACTAATCAAAGAACAACAAATCTGTAAAATATTAGGGATATTAAAAAAGTAATTAACACGGTAAACATACAAAGTAAAAAAAAAGTGCACACAAAAGTACATTCACAAAGTGTACGTATAAATATTATATTATATACATGCATATTTGGAATTTTATGTTAAATACACATACAGTAAATTGATATAATTTAAATCTTTGTATAACTGATATAAAAAATAGATTTGTATGTGTAATAATTTTTATATTAACTTTGTGTCCTTATACAATTTTTAGTATATCAGTATAAATATAAAACCATTAATCACAATTTTTCAGTTTAAACGCAATTTCAATGCGGGTCTATAGAAGGCTAATTTTTATCTTGATACAATCACGCATATGGTCACAAAGATATTATAACAATATATAATTAAATATGTATGTACATAGCGATAGTAATTATTCAATTTTTGAAAAAAACTATCTATATATCTGTTTTTTACTAGTGCATAACTCCATCGACACCAGCCTCCGGCCCAAATACAGTACTAACTGCTAAAAAATAAATATATAATATAATACTAATAAATTAATTAATTAATGGAAATGGAAGTTACTAATAATTATTTCTATCGCAGGCTGTGTTTCAACAAAGGCAATCTGCAGCGAGAGAACAGCGCCTTTTACAAGAAACTCAAAATTTGGATGGTTTGTCCAGAACAATGGTCCAGGAGAGACGCAGCGCTGGTTCGTTATCAAATGGTGCTTCCCTGCCTGGGACCATAACTGCCGGAAAGGTAAATTTTACATATTTTAATTAAGATATAATTATAATTTTAGTTGTTTTTAAAAACTGTTATATGAAATGAAAAAAAATCAATTCCAGCTTATTCAAAATGAATCGCATATTAAATCTATACAATTCATGTTTTAATATATAATTAAAATATAACATAATTGCTATAATTTAAATCTAAATATTAAGTTAAAATATCCATATAATGTTAAAATTAACGAATATATATTTATTTTATTGTTTAATTATATATTTGAATTGCATATATAAAGAAATTGTACGTGTAATTTTAATTTGAAACTCCATCAGACTTTTAACATTGCTCAAAAAAGATACATTTAAAGAGCATTGAAAGGAAAAAGTTAAATTTAATCATTCTATTTGAAAATATTTTAAACTTATGAAAAACCAAGTACTTTTTAGTTAATATTTATTTTAAGATATGGTATAGTTTTTATTTTTGACTTAATAAATAGCTTCGGCGTTATGCAATTTTATTTATTGCTCATATCTATATAAAATTTAAGCCAAGTATAGCAATTTTAATGATACTATTTTAAAGTAGAAGGCATAAGATGTGTAGCTAGCTAGTACCTTAATTCTAAAGAAATAAACGGTCTTGTATCATTTTCCATTTTCCAAAAAGGTTCAACCAAATCTTTACAGTGTACAAAATAATTAAATTAGGAATAAAGATTTAAATTATATGAAGAATAGCAATTTTACAAAAGTTCTGATTTTACAAAGTTCAAAACTCTGCTGATAAATGCTTCTGATGAAGTTCCATATTAAGGTCATATACAATGTGATCTTCGTAAAAAATGTGTCCATGATATTGGTATTTTGCATTGGTTGAATAATGTAGCTGTTACTTCGTAAAATCATTTCAAAGTAAAAACGAGACCTTGATTCTGTTTGTTCCACGGCTTTCCCCTTTTACCCTGTCTATGCTGGAAAAAGGGACTGATGACAGATTTTCGAAAATTGTTCGAGCATATTTTTATAATAAGGAAATATCTATGAATTGTACTGAACATAGTTCGATAGGTGTTTGATAGGTAGTTCATTTGTTTTAAACAATAATTTATGGAAATAAACTTCGACTTTTGTGTCCACCCCACCCTATTCTTGAAGTATTTTTTTTCAATGAATAAATTAATTATTTTTTAATGTTATGAATTAAATACATTGTTTCTTTATATTTCAGGTCCGACAAATGTTCGACGAACGAAGAAGAGTTGCTACTGGAATAGATAAAAGTTTTCCATTACAACCTCTAAAGACTAGACCGGCTCCACCTGCAAAAGCAGAATATGCATATAAGGTAGGTTATTTATTGTAGTTGAAAATTACTGATATTTAGGTACTTCACGTTGTAAATCTGAAAAATTGCTCTCTTAACTGCTTTTGTTTTCATTTAACTTCAAGAGAAGAGGATATTATTATATTCGCAGAATTCTCCCATTTTACAAGTATTAATCGATGTGCACACACCCAATTTACCAAAAAAATATTAAATCAGTTAAAGATTAGAGTGTTATATTAAAATCTTGATATACAACAGTTTTTTATACAAATCTATGGCAAAGCTGTAGATTTATGCATAGAGTTTTAAATCTTACTTGATTCGTTAGGAATGTTATAGCATGGCTACATGATAATTCAAAAATGAATTTTCGGATTTTGCTTTGTGATTCAAAAATTAATAAAATAACGTAATAATAATATCAAAACCTGTAAGCTCGAAATGTGCTATTTCAATATCAGCTTTTGATTAGGCTGATCACGAAATCAGTTTTTGATTAGGCTGGCATTTGCAATGACTATTAACACTTTGTTGACCGGCAATTTTTGCTAAAAATGTATCTCATGTCACTGGCTGTTATTTCGTAGTTGAATGTGGAAGTGAAACAATAAAAACAAACTTTAATCAATTTTATTTATTATTCAACTTTGAATATTTCTTTGTCGTATAATAAACAGTATAATCTACATATAATGGTGCACAACAGCTTTCACAAATATAATTAGTTTCGGTCATAAAAACAAAGTGGTAAAACAGCCCAAGAACATTTATATGCGGTATGTTTTGCAGTGGATAAACCATTCATATAATTTGCGTTCGCTGTTTCTCTCACTTACATTCAACATACTTCCACATTCATATTCACATTCACTCAGAATTATTCTTTATGGCTAAACAACATTTACCGTTTATAAATTCTATTCTTTAATATAAATGTTAAAAATTTTTGGGCATAAAATTTTTAATAATTTGCTATAATGCCAAAATGTCTTGTACCACTAAAATGTAACGATCTGTGTTACGTAGTTTTTAAACTCTCCTTCGATACTCAGGTTGTTGGGTTATAATTTTACCCTTGTAGCTGGGGACTGTATTAAACACTTATTAGTTTGCATATTATGTATTTGTTGTAGTTCTAATTGCAATCACTGATTTGTTACTAAGCTATAATGAAAGAAGATATATTTATTGGTTATTTATTGGTTATACATGTTGTTAGGCGGACTTTAGTTTTAGAAGTGAACAATTAGTTCAATTAAAACACTCCGCTACCCTCTCTACCAGCGGTTATTTCGTGTAAAGCTTAATGCACTGAAGCTTGTCACCTTCATGGCCAATATAATAAAACGAAAATACGTCCGAACAATGTTCGTTTCTAGAAGGAAACGCGTGCATCTTTTAACTGTTTGTTTTAATTTGTGTGTTTTCGAGCCTTCAATCGCTTGTTATTTCTTTTTATTTTTTTTATAAATTGCAATCTGTCTAAATAGAAAGACATTGACAAATAACATAGAATTTTAGAAGAAAAACCCGGAGGTTCACCTTTTATTAATGTACTAAGTTATATCTTAATTAAATTTTGGTGTTGCTTGTTATTTCTAACTTAAAATATCTTGTAATATATTATATAAGCTGTGTCAATATAGCTTTTATGAAAATATTATTCGCAACGTAGTACAGTACTAAGCTGATAGGTCACAGTCATTATTACCTTTCATAATTTATGATTTATACGCCTGATACGAATGATGGATGGCCAATCGGGCAGCACCTTTGCGTACGTCAATAATTGGAATTGATTTTTTTCGTCACACAAAGGAATACCGGTGAAAGATTTAGAGTAAGATTCATTATTACCTCATAATCAGCATTTCCGATGAATTATAATTTGTTTTTCTTCTTTTGGCTTAATATTTTTTGTTTATGCAAATAACAATACTTATTAATTTCTTTAGATTGATTGCTAAAATATATTGAGTGGAGCAGGGTACAAAAGTCCTATTTTACTTTCACTAATTATACTATCTAATCCAAATAAACAATGTCACAATACATTTTTAATTTTATTTTTAGCAATCAGAATACATGACAATTCTATGAGCTATTTGGCTTATGTCATTCACTCGCACACTTTCAAACACACCTATAAATTTATCGGATAAATATTACATTCATATTTAGAGAATCACTTCAATAAGTGATTCTACTGTTCTGTTCATAAAAGGTTGTGGTAGTTCTAAGGTTCTAAGGTTCTTGCATATTATCTTCGGACAGCTTTTTCTTCAGTCTTCCTGAAGTTGGTGTCTCAAGAAGCTCAGTGACTATATCGTTCGTACATAACACGTATCAGTGTTTTTTCTACTATTTCTCTAAAATTGATCATTTGTTTCATAGGTGGGGTAAGAAGGGGCAGCCAGGGGACAAAAAGTTCCAATGTCTTATTTTTAAGTTTTAGGGGAATAATACGGAATTAGAGTTACATTATACAACCAATGCAAAATACAATTTTATGGGCGTATCCTTTACAAAAATAACACTAATAATGATATGATATTTTGTCAGAAATATTCACCAGTAGAGTTGGAATAACTCTACTTGCGAAATAGCTCTTTTTTAACTTAATTTACTTCTTTATTTACAATTTTCTTATTGCTGACACTTTTGACAAAATAAAGGTTTAGGTTGTCTTTTTTATCACGCTCATATGTAGGCTTTAAAGAGGTTATAGCAAAGTGTTGAATTTAACTTAAAAATTACAATACATATTATAAAACAATTCCAAAAGTAAAAACAAGACATTTGATCTGTTTGTTTCATGGTTGTCCCTTTTACCTTGTCTATGTTGCAAAAATGACAGATGACAGATTTTCGAAAAAAATAATTCAGAAATATCTATGAAGTTTAGTTTATTAGGAAATAAAGGTTGCCTTTTTTTATCCCACACATATGTAAGTTTTTAGAGAGGTTATATAAAAAACTGTTGGATCTAACTTAAAAATTACAATACATCTTATAAAACAATTAAATTACGTGCACCTACTAATTATATTTAGGTATCACAAAATAACTAAAAGAGCTCAAAACCAAAAAAAAAACGAAAGAACTAAAAAAATACTTTTATTATGAACATTGTGATACCACTGGCCGTTTATCTTCTGATGCAAGGGATACCACTGGTCTTAACTTTACATATTGTCATTCATGACTACTAAATGTTTTTTGTATTATAAAACAGATTGTAATTGCATCTTGAGAAATAAAAAAAATTAAAAAAATCTTCTCATGTGGTTAGAATTAATGTTAAATGCAATAAAACATCTACATTATTTGCCTTCTACCTAAAAATTATTTTAAATTTTCTGGTTAATTTTTGAATTATCTTAGTTTAAATGCTACTTCTTAAAAGTTTGCTGTCATCTTTGGCATTAGCATTTAAAAATTATGCAACATTGAATTTATTGAGAATGAAGTTAATATTACTGCAAACCTAAAATATTCAACATTGCGTATTACAAGATCAATATATTTTTTAATTTCTTCATAAGAAAATGTAAAAATTATTACATTTGTAAATCTGTCAAGAAATATGAAACAAAATACTTGCGCTAGTTACTAAATATACACCAAAAAATTATTTATCATTTTTATAATATTTTCAAGAATTCAAAATTTTATCGCTTGTGTTCTGTAATAGGTATTTCATAGATAACTCTTTCATAATTCTCAGCATAAACCATGTTTCAAATTCTGACTGTCAATCTTGTCAAACTGGCAAAACAAGTCATAATCATTATGATTTTCCTTTAATAATTTAAAAACTATAAAAAATAAATAAAATATGATTTTTATGATTTCTTCAGCTACCACAAAAATCTACAAGTTCTACTCGGCTGCGAACACAGCAACAAACTACAAATCCAATTACCAGTAAAACATCTACGAAGGTTTTGAGGCAGGCAATTGCAACAAACGGTTATGCCGACAGAAGAAACGGATACAATGCTAAACTCAACAAAAGCTACGATGAACTAGTAAGTTACTGATATTTCTGAAAAAAAAAAATTAACTAATTTAAAGTGGAATTCTGTCTCAAGGCAATTAAGGCATCGTGCCTTAAGGCAAATTGCTGCAACTTCCCGTACCAAAAATTATTATTTTTTTAAAAACGATTAACATTTTTGAAAAAAATTTACTTCGAAAAAATAAGATTTTTGAGAAACTATAAATTGGACTATAAATTACTTTTTTTTTGAAAAACAAAATTAGAAAAAAAATTAAAAAATTTTTTTTTTTTTAATTTTTTTTTTTTTTTTTTGAAAAAAAAATGTTTTTTTTTATTTTGACATATTTTGGAAGATCTGAACTTTTTTTCAAAGCAATCGTACTGCTTTTACTGCATAGAAACAAAATATAAAGCGCGTAAGCGCCGCGTCGCTGTCTTACGGATAAACATTGGTACGGAGGAACCCATAGGAATGTAAACAAAATTCATACTTATTGTTAAAATCTCTATAAAATATCTGATAATTTGATGTGCATATGTCTAATGATCATTTTTGACCGCCAAATGGCATTTTTTTTTTTAAAGAAAGTAAAATGTTTTTTGAATTATTCAAATCGGACGCTCCGTTCTCTTAAAAACCGAGGTACCGTTTTTGGCACTGTTTGCCCCATATCTTCGGAATGGCTAGACCTGCCTTCGCCAAAAACTAATCAGCACGTCTCCTTATCAATACGAATCGAATGTTTTTTTTTGAATTATTGAAATTGCTTCATCTGTGTTCCCGAAATTGTCCACGAAAATTTGCATCCGCACACACATACATACACGCACAACACACACATACATCCATTTTTTTTAAGGTATGCCAAAATATTCAGAAACCTCTGAAACGTAAAGATATATAAACATTTTCATTTTCGATTTTTTTTGCGATTACTATAACTTACCCTACGAGAAGTTAAAAATGAATAACAGTTGCAGCAAATTTTGTTTATTCTATAATTCTATTCATCCATATTTTATAAGAAATAACTATAGTTTATAAATTAAAAATAATAAGTATTTTAATAAGATTTACAATACTTTTACAATACACTTATTTTACTTAACAAATTTTAGGTATTTAATAATATTTTAGCAAATTTAAGTGTGTGACAATGACGCTCAACATCTGACATGATTGTTAGTATGGCTTTGTTCATGTTATACAGTTCGCGGAAACCTTATTGAAAATAGCCAAGTTTTAAATAAGGCCACTGTGTAATTTTGTTCATTTTAACCATTTTGACCGTATTTCCACAATAAGTTCATATTACAGCAAAAGCATAAAAATAAAATTTATTTTCATAAAATTCAATGACTATTTTTATATTTAATGGCTATCTTCTGTAATATTTTTACTCATATTTTGGTTAATTGCTATTATTAAATTAATAATATTTTGTTACAAAAAACTATAATATATGAAATTAAATCGACAACTCATAGTTTATCACTTGAAATGAAATGATAAATAAGTTGCATCAATATAATGAAACTTTTAGCTTGTTTCTTTAGTTAGAATTACTATTCTGAAAACAATTTAAACTTTCTATTGATTTTCAAACATTATTTTGTGCGCCGAATATATATTCTGGACAATTTGCTGTTTCTTTATATAGTTCTAAATTTTTGCTAATTCATATAGGGTCCGTCAGATAACTTTTTTTTTTGAAAATGCTATATATAAACTACTGAATATTTTCTCAATCTACATCTTTTCTATTTGAAAGTGCAATCCTTCTGGTTAATAATCGAAAATAATTTCATTGAAATGGCTGCCTAACTTATAAATTGCTGTCAAAAAATTCTGAATTGCTACCAATAAAAAAAAGTTATATGGCGGACCCTTCATAAAAGTTATTACATATAAAAATTTTCTAAAATTATGAAAAAAAAATACATGAACAATTACAAACATTTTATATATGTACTACCTATTTCTACTTTTCAGGCGAACGAAATCGATTATAATCAACCGAATAATATCCGTCCAGATTTCGAACTTAGTAATTTATTGAATGCTAATCACATTGAAGACTCTGGAACATTGGATGACATAGAATTTCCAGACACCAGCTTAGAATTTGAAGATATGGCCGATTATACAACTTCAACCAGGAGAAACTCAGGTTCAAAGCTTGAAACAAAACCTGTAGTTTTGTCTCATGTTAAGACAAGCAATAGGTGAGAAAATTGAAAGTAATTAATAAATTGATAAAAGAGGTAATTTTTTTAATGTTGCACAAAGTAACATTAGATCACTTCTATTTTTATATAAATGTTGATATAGGGTAGAGCGAAGCCTGAAAACCCGAAGCTGGTATAAAGGTCCACCATAAACAAGTAGAGTAGAAGTAAGTGAGAGTCAAATTTGGCCTTTATACTCCATCCTACTCTATTTCAGGATATCTACAAAATCCTACAAATGAATTATCGAATATTTTTATATATAAATAATCTGTTTTTGTTTTTCTATTATAGCAGACTGCCACCTAAATTTTCTTCAAATGGTGGAGGTGACGTAAATCGGAAAACTATTCCAGATAGGACCAGAAGTATTACCAAGCCACAAATACAAAATAGTGTTGTCAAGAAAACCATTCCTAAATCACCTGCCAAAGAAAATAGAACTGTCAAATCTCCTGCTCAATCGCCCCTTAAGGTAAGTGACCAATAAAATTACTTTATATGTAATATTAATTTCTGCATTGTTGAAATTTAAGTTACGAAAAATATGTTTATACTATATAGTTTAAAAAATACAATTTGTGTACAGAACATTTGTATTTTTCACAAAAAATTTGGTACAGTTGAATGTTTATAAATATTTAAAAGATTCTTTTAGAGGTTTGTCGTTGTATTCATGTAAATTTTTGTTTTTTGCTAATACATTTTGCAATTTCACAAAAAAGTATTTTATGTCGTTTGTGTTGATGTTTAGAATTATTGAAATAAACAGTTGATTAGGCTATAAAATTAGTACTCAAAAGACTGAAAATAATTTTTATATCTCCTGTGTAAGCCGCAATATTTTCTTAGTTGCGTATTGAATGCTTTTTGCATTTTTAAACTTTCTTTAAAGCAAGTTCAAGTTAAATTTTCTGATGCTAGTGTATAAGATTATATGAAATGTTTTTCCTATCAATTATAGAATCATACATTACAGTTTTGTTTGCATTTTAAAAGTTTTCATAGGCTTTATATAGTAGCAGCTACGAATAAATTTCTGCTTCGGATTACATTATAGCAATTCATAGTAGGGCACAAAGGTTTAATTTGATTTTGAGCAAATATTTTGTGAACCAAATCAAATATATCACAACAACTATCTGACGATGTTTAGTGAAATTCCCAGGTAATTCATTATTGTAGAAATGTGATTTTTACTGTTTATAAAGAAATTGTTACCTGGCCCTTTCAATGTCTTATTTTTAATTTTGAATGGATTTTACGAATAATAGATACATTATTCAACCAATGCAAAATAACCTTAACCGGAGATAATACTGTCTATAACCTTGATCTGATATTTCATCAGAAATATTTATCAGTGGAGTTTGAAAAACTACTTAATTTATCTCAAAATTGCTTCTTCAACTTAATTTACTGTTTCATTTACTAATTTTTATTGTTTTCGCTTTTGCCAGGATAAAGGTTCAGTTGTCTTTTTACCCCATCCACGTGCAAGATTTTATAGGCTTATATAAAAAAAACTGTCATATAAAAAAATTAAATAATGTATACTTCAAAATTATATTAATGACTCCTAAACTAAACAACAGTACTCACAATCAAACTAACAATGAAATAATCCAATTAAAACTAACAATGAAATAATATACTTTCGCTTTGGATTTTTGAATATTTCCGTCTACCTCCCGATAGTAACGTCGTAAAAATCAAGATAATGGTTGGCTATACATCTTTTTCCTTCTACTTTCAAATATTGTTGCTAAAAAAAATTCCTAACTTGGCTTGTTTTTGGTGATATTGGTGGCGGACCTTTTTACCCATGGACCTTAAAGCTCCGCTCTACCCCATATTACAATGAATGCTCAGTTTTGGTTGTTTTTCCAAACAGTTGTTTCAAATAATGAATAAAAAAAATATATTAATTAATGTTCTGACAGGAATTTTGTTTTGCAACAAAATATGACAGCTGTCACAGAATACATATTTATTCCGTGAATAAATATGTAACAAAAAAAAGTTAAAAATATTAAAAACTCAAAAAAATGTAAAATTTAAAATCTGAATCTACATTATGAAATTTATCAATACATAACGCATTATCCGTCAACTTCATTTTTTTATTTTATTACAATAACTTTATATATTTATTTTATTTTATTACAATAATATGCCACAAGTGCAAAATAAGGTATTTATGTATGAAATATAAACGATTGAAATTAATAGATTATACAAAATTAATTAATAATAATTTTGTTGACTAATATATTTATTTCCATCCACAGGTGCCGAAATCTCCTTGTCCAAAGGCTGCGACGTCAACGGTAAGGCTATAATAAATATAAATTAATTAATTAAAGTTAAGGCTTATAATGATTTGAAAGTACTTCGAGGATGCTGATTCCAAAAATAGTAATAGATCTTTGAAACAGCTTTAGTTTTTGAGATATACCAATGTGATAGTTTTGCCTCAAATTACAATGATAAGTAACCAAATGTTATTTTATGCCTTTAAAAGTATTTTTATATAATTTTCGAGCGTAGATAATTTCTCACTGATTTTGTCATAAGCACCCAACATTTGTCATCAGTCATGGGGACGTCCTATTTCCCTTGATATCATTTCTTCAAATTCCTGATGTCTTAGTTGTTTCTCTCCTGACTCCCTGGTTTTCCTCTCGATCTTATTCATAGATTTTACGAACCGTGGATTTTTTATGAGTTGCCTAATTTGGGAATCATTGAACATATCACTTTAAGTCATCCTTTCTTCTCTTTTTTGGTTAGTCGTTGGTCTCTTAATCTTATACATAGTAGGCGGAAGATGTTGATGTTCTAGGTTGTTCATCATTAACATGGCTACTATATAATCACAAAATTTAAATCTAATATATCAAAATTGAAAAGGCTTACTCCAGTAGTAACCTTTTAGATCTAATGTTTAATATTTCATATATCATCAAAATTACTGAATGTCTTCCTTTTGGTAAAGACAGATTGTAATTCAATAAAGTGAATTAAAAAAAAAGAAAAAAAAGAAAAAAAAAAAATTAACATGGATACAGGTTGTACATCTGATCGTTAGTAGTTCCAAGACCATTGGGGTCATGGGGTATGACCATTTGATTCTAATTTCTGAATTATTCCATTGATAATCACCACACAGAAGAAACAGTCGTCGTGGTGATTCTGATAATGAGGTTTTTTCTAAATGACGGCAGTATTGAAATTATTTTCTTTATCATTTTGGATATTAAAGTAAACACACTACGCAATTTTGGAACATAGTAAAACTATTTTTGTCACGCAGTGTTATTCATATAAAAAATCTTATTCGTTAACACATTTAAGTTTTTCCTATGCGGACTCACAGTTCGAGAAACCCAGACTAGTTAAAAATATTGATGCGTTTTAGCGAATAGTTAATAATCTTATTTGGAAAGTATAATCGATATTTGATCTATATTACAATATAGATATAATTTTACAATATTATTTTTTATAATTATACAATAATATTATTTTCATCAATCTCGACAGAGTTCTCGGCCAGCTCCTTCTGAAGCGGTAGCAAGTGCTTTAGCCAGTGGCGAACTAGTCAATTGTTCAATTTGCGGAAGAAATTTTGCCAATGATCGTATACAGAAACATCGAGAAATCTGCCAAAAAACTGCACAGAAGAAGCGCAAAGTATATGATGCACTAAAACACCGAGTTCAGGTAAGTTGTTGTAAAGATTTATGTTATGCCGGGCAAACTTTTAGAGCTCAGAAAGCTGCTTATAAATAATTGTAGCCGAAGGTATACTCTTTATCAACTGATTTTGTTTATACACAGTACATATCTATGATGAGTCACTTTTGTACATCCTCGCCATCCTCATATTTTTTAAGAGTTTCATTCTTAATATAAAAATAAATAATATTTTGTAAATGTACAGAAAGCTATAAAACGTAAACTAAACAACTGTATAAAAAATATTAAGATATAGTCAAAATTTCAAACGTTAAAATAATCCTCGATTAATATTAACACTAAACCTACCTACAATTCATGTATACCCATACCTGCCACGCGCGGTCAAATTGACCTATAATTAAAAAGTTATCTATTTTATTATTCAATTCACATAATGATTAATTTATTGTTTAATATACATAAATTAAAGAACTTTTCGCGAAATTTCATCTAAATTCATTTTTATATAATTTCTAAAAGAAATTATAAGAAAAAAAAACTAATAAAATTAAATATTTATAAAGTATGCCATATGCTTTCTGACATTGTTTATAAATTATTTTAGTCGGAAATTTATATTTGTATTTCGCAATTTTGGCATTTTTTTATATATTAACTCATGGACAGTGTTGATAAAAACTTGATTTCCTAAAGATTTTGAATATGCAACGCCGAGTTAAGAAATTAACTAGAACAAAAATTCGTGCCTAAAATGATTGATTACTCGTCATCTCTTTATACACAATTTACGCATATATCCACCTAAGTTCAGTATATTGAAATAAACCATAAGTTGCCACCTACAAATTTTCTGCTTTAAGTTACATTTTTTAGCCATCTGGTTTGCCACATTTTTACCAAACAATTTACTAATACAAAATCTAATAGCTTTGGTTCAATTTTGCTGCTTTCTCCTAATTCTATTGGATAATGTTTGAAACTTGGAACAATTATTTTTTATACACCGTCAGAGTAATGAAATTTGATTTATACAAATTGCTTCAAAATCTGAGAATGAATTTATCAGTATAAGAATATCCAATTGAAATATTGAAGAGTCTCTCCTCTTATCATTTTCAAAATAGGGAAACCCATTTTTTTGTATATTTACTATTGACTTGACACATCATACAGAACTTTATTTTAAATTTGTCTGGTTTATTTGGTATATTTTTTAGAAATCTACACCTATATTTTGATATAAACAACTACCCAAATAACATTATTTTCCACCGGTCAAGTTGACCGTCCGTGATAGTTAGGCCACATATTTTTTTTTTTTTCGGAAAATAAAAAAAATAACTAAAATGAAAGCTTGAAGAAAATTATTATTAGTATATTCTAAGAATTGTCATATACTTTGATAATGGTTAATAAAAATGTCTAAGTTATACATAAATTTCGTTGGGAGGTTTAGTGTTTTTTTTTTCAACTTTGCAATATTTAGTTTATTTTATTTTATTTTTTTTTATTTATATATATACATTATTTTCATATCTCAGACAGACAGAAGTGCCTGGTATGAGAGATTATGAAAACAGTTTTCATATTCTATATATACATTTCATTAATATAATATCTATTATAATTAAAATAACTCTATCTTTATATGACTCTTCAGTCTTCTTTGTCTTCAATTTCCTTATAGTATTTCTTTATTTTTCTTTTAAATTTATCGCCATCATTGGTCATCTTAATATCGTTTGGCAATTCATTATGCAAGGGTTAACATGAACTTGGAACATAATTTGCAATTATTAATTGTAAATCATTATATATTTTAGAAACGTCAAAACACAAAATTGACATTTTTATTCCCTGATACAATAATATCTTAAGTTCTTCAATGATTCTATCTTTGTCATACCGTCACGTTTAATTCTATTTCTTTTAATCAGGGCACTGATGCCGAACAATTCGTCCGAGTACGCGCTCGTAAAAATCCATCAGGAAGTTCGCAAATTCCAAAACGTCCGCCACTGCAAACAAATTGGCGCAAGAAGCACGAAGATTTCATAAACGCTATCAGGGCTGCGAAAGAAGTCCAACAACATTTGAAATCTGGTGGAAAATTATCAGATTTGCCACCTCCTCCTCCAAGCGAAAATCCCGACTATGTCCAATGTCCACATTGTGGACGCAGATTCAACCAGGCTGCTGCTGAAAGGCACATCCCAAAATGTGCCACTATGGAACACAATAAACCTAAAAAGAATGTGCCAGCTAATAGTAGAGGAGGGGCAGGAACAGCTGCAAAGGGATTTAGAAAAAATTGGTAAGTGTAGAGAAGGGGATGCTTTAATAATATTTTAAAAGCAAATTTATAGACATACCTTCATCATTATTTTGGTAATTTACATTATACCTACATATCGAATGCTCGGTTTTGAAAGTAAAGTATGTTGAACGACAAAAAATCCTCACGAACAAAATTTGTGTGGTCTTCTAAAATTAATTTTTTAATATAATATGTATTAGGGAACCAATACTAAATATTTTAATCAATTAAAATAGCAACTTTGAAAGCCCTTCATCTCTTTTAGAATATATTGACCTTAACTAAATAAATTGCACAAATATAACTGTAGAAGGTAATAGTGGTAGAAAGGTTTTTTTTTTTAATTTTTTATAATTTAGTTAGTTTTTAAACATTTGGACACTTAAGTTATTAGGTTGGTAACTAAGGCAGTGCGGTTTTCTGACTTAACGGTTTTAATTCGATTTTAGGTTTGCTGGCGTAGTCCAAATAGTTTGTTATTGGTTACTTACTAGGCATATCTACTGTCTGGGTTTCGTTTGGCGTTTGCTGAAAGGTGAAAAAACAAAACGAAATTTTGTCATATCTTACTTTGTTAACTTCCCGAAGGTTTATGTTTATGTTTTCATCAAAAAATCCGATTCGCTAATTTTATGTTTTCTCGACGTTTTAAGCCATTCTGAATCGAATGAGACCAAATATGGAAAAAGTATGTGTGTGTGTGCGTGTGCACCAACAGATTTTTTGCCGTAAATCGCCGTTTTCTCAAAAAACGGCTGGACCGATTTCAAAAATTTAAAAGCCATTCGATGTATCTCGATGAGGACTATTGTTTGTTGTCAGTTTTGTGCGACGATCGGCCAAGCCGTTTCTTCGTAAATAGCAGAAAAGTAAAAAGTTTTTCGTCCACGTTTTAGTCCGCAATTCTGAATCGATTTTGAAAATTCAAAAATCGTTCGAAAGATATTGGTTGGGAATCGTCCTGATTAGTTTTTGGTAGAGATCGGCCGGGCCGTTTTCTTGTAATAAGGTGTTAAAAAAATTTTTTTCGTCGATTTTTATTATTTTTTTAACGGTAGATACCATAGTCTTCTAGATCATACTAAAATATTACGGCCCTACGACAACTTGTTTAGCTTTAAAAATTCGTCAAAGTTTGCAAAAATTAGTATGGTCTTTTTGGCATTTGTCAAAATTAGAACTTTCATCGATGTTTGCTCAAAAACGCCTGAACCGATTTCAGAAATTTAAAAACTATTTGATGTATCTCGATGAGGATTATCGTTTCTCAGTTTTGTGCGACGATTGGCCGAGCCGTTTCATTGTAAT